TTCATCATGCAGTAGCAACTTGATTACGCACAGTAAATTTATATTAGAGCTTCTGAAATTGTGTTCGGAACTTGGTTTTATAAAACTTGTTATAATAAGCTCTCTTACCTTCAGGAGATTTAAAATCAAGCTTTAACTATTTTCGTCCCAACGAGAGACTTTCAAAGTTCTCCGTGTATAGATCGAGCTTCAAAGCTTGTCTTTTGTGTGAAACAAATGCAAGTATCTTGCACTAAAATGTCAAGTGCCGTTACAAGTGGCGGATACAAAATAGTGTCATTATACTCTCGGAATTAGTAAAGAGTAAGACCGATTGCCACACATTGCTCTGGAGGAAAGATTGATTTATACTTTTTCTCATCTGCGATTTGTCGTAGTAATGACAGGCAAACGACGAAACGACTCAATTTGTTTGCATAAATACCGCGAAAAGTGTATAGTGGTGGATGTAAGAGCGCGTCATTATATTCTTCGGATCAGTGAAGAGCAAACTTCGTTGCCATACAACTACAAGAGCACAAGGTAAATTTAGACTATTTCTCATTTACCACATGACATATTAGTGACAGGTGCATAACAAAGAATTTGAAACGAGGTCTTACGCTCGCCACCCAGCTGAATTAAAAGCTAAACTTGCAGTGCAATTTTACTTTTGAGAGATGTAAATTAGTGAAGAGTTTTCGAAATGTATGAATAAGAAGACATTCGTGGATTATAATGACTACAAAAGTTTCGTAGTTGCCAATTTTACATTCATCGAAAGTTGCATGGCAAGTTGCAAGAAAGTGTGCATCGTGTAACACGGCCATAAAGGCAACTACCTCATATTCCAGACAACTCGAGCATATGTCATAATAGCTATAGAGAAGAAAAACAACTCACTGCTCTGCGTATTTGTTCCTATTTAAGGTTAAACATCAGCACAGTTGTGGTATTGTGCGTCCTGCATAGTAGCAACTATAAAGGCCGGCGCACACTAGAGCTATGTGCTTAGCAAAAAGTCACTCGTGGCCATTGACGTAAAGGCCGGCGCACACTAGAGCTATGTGCTTAGCAAAAAGTCATTCGTGGCCATTGGCGTAAGCCAGTTGCTCTCGTGTGCGGGCGACTTTTCCAGTGACTTTCGTCATTCGTGCCAAAAGTCGCCGGAAAAGTCGCCTGCACACGAGAGTGGCTTAGGCGCCAATGGCCACGAATGAATTTTTGCTAAGCGCATATAGCTCTAGTGTGCGCCGGTCTTAAGGTTGTCAGTAACAACAGACGAATGTGCAAAGTCAGGGAAAAGATATGATGGGAATGAATATAATTTTTAATTCATTTAGCATAACTGTAGACTCGTGTGAAGCATAACAACAGACCCGTGGCAATACTTTTAGCAGAAACTCGCGATAAAAAACAAAATTATTTGAACCATTGCGAGCTGTCATTAAAGTTATAAAGTTGAAGGCGGATCGTGGCACCGCTAATAATTTACAATAAAAATTTAGTCGAATTTATCTGTTATTGATAGTATGCAGAACAAAGTATGAAATTCGGGTAAACTCGTCAAATATTCAACACATAATGTAACTCACAATAGGATGCTATATACATGTACCTCTGGCGCTCTGGGGAAATAGATTGAACGAGTACTTCATTTCATCGTCATGACTTGTGTCAAGTCATTTATCATGACGGGTAACTTGGTAATTTCAAAAAGGCTACTTCTGTGTTGCTCTGACGAGAACCCACGCAGCGATCTAATTAACCGCCCGCTGCTTCTTTTCTCCCCCCCGCTTATACTGTGTATTCTCTAGCTTCAATTTCGCTATGTTTTTTGTCACTTTTTTCCCTTGAGATTTTTTATGCACCATGGCCTTTCGCTGTATATCTTCTCTTTCTTCTTTGATCAGATCTTACAATTCTTTATTTGATCTGATATGTTTACGAAATCTCACATGCAGATCTTATCTAGCTAATAATCAAAGCAGAATTTTTGTGATAAAGCTAAGCCCAACGACTAAGGAAAACCTTTCAAAAAGCCGTGTCAGCATGAATCTACGAAAGTATAAAGATCTAAGAGGTTTATAGACAAAGTATAAAGTGAAAACCTTTTAGCGCAACAGTCGGTCTGATATTTTTTTTATTTATTTTCATTGAATGCCCACGTCATTTAATTTACATAAAAAGTTCTACAATTAAATAATTCATTTCTATTAAACTTATGCAGACTGACTATATATCTATATATTTTTAACGCCGGATAAACGGACCATACATATTTACTGAACACAGCACCGGCAGTTGTTGCGTTGCATGTACATACAATTTAAGAAAATGTGCTATAAAGAAATACCTGCTGATTCATGAGGATAAACACTACGCGTAAGTGGAAATCAGCCATTACCTAATTGTTGACGTTTGCGTATTCTGTGACATCCTATTAATCGTCAAACCACCATGAACTGACCTCATATTTTCTTTCCTAATGTCTAAGGGTGACTTAATAACATTGAGTTATTATTATTACACAGGGTCAACAAAAAACGTCTGTTGTTTTCACGTGATATATGCATGCATTTCCATGCATGATGTTATTAAACTCTGTAAGCAGGGAGCTTTAGCAATGACTACGAGTAAAAGAATCGCCATTTTCGCGCCAAGTTCAGTGAAATTGATCTTGAAAGAATGACGAATCTTTTACTCGTAGTCGTATACTCGTTGTCACCGCTATTAAAGCTCCCTTACATCCGGTGACGAAATATTATTTTATCGAAAATATGTTAATTTCGCCTGTTTCGATACCTTGGCTATTTAAGCAGGAGGAGCATTTTCATGTCTGTTTTATGTCCGTATATATTAATAAACCAGTATGCAGGAATATTTCCCTAATAACAGTTTCCAAATATTTTGATTTTTAGTGCCTAATCATGCTTATGGTATGGACCAAATATGTTAGTTCGTCATTTATTTCCTGCTCTTATTTTTAGCATGTTTACATTCTACGAAGTGCCTATTATACTGTATTTTATATTCCAATGGTTCCCGCAATTGCAGCTCATCGGTGAGTAAATATCTTAATGTTGAGACAATCATTTGTAATAGAATCAACTGTATTAATCATATCTCAACTGTTTTATCACCTCTCCTCCAAGGGATTATTTATACATAGGTCATATAGGATATTTGCTTAACGAATCATAAGGTGAACTTGTAAATAAATTATCACCTGAGTACTTCACCCTTACAACCATTCTTCAACAAAAGCCGGAACGGTGTTCAGTGACTCAGTGAAACAATAATCGCAGTTTATATGCGTTAGTTATGTATTTGTGGATAAGAAACTAGTAGGCTATATTTATTGTTCAGCTGATACTTAACTAGGAATAACAATTTAACGCTTTACTGCCATCGAACAATGATAGTGCATTAACTTATCAGAGAATCCGACAGGGTATCAGGAGTAACAACTGTGTTCATGCAGATTTATAACTATGCATCAGGACATTCATAGTCTAGGTTCAGCAGTTTAGATTTGAATAAGGTTATATATACAATATCTAGTCATGCTAGCTTTTCAACAAGGAGAAATGCTCGTGTGTACTGCCGTCAAGGAAAACTAAAACTTGACAAGGAATTGCGCAGTATATAGGGAACAGCACAACAAGCGGGTTTTTGAAGTTTTTCAATTTCTGTTTGCTTTGAGATTCAGTTGTATACTCATTTTATCACGGCTCATATTATCGTCAAATATACTCATATTACTTGTCAGTAAAAATTTGTCAATTTTTCGGGTACACACGAGCAAATAAAACTATGCAAGCAAAACCTGTCACCGAGAATTTGTTCGTCATGCACACCAGCAAGTGAGCAGGTCAAGAAAACTTGTCAAGGGAAACTTGCCCGTCTGTACGGGGCTTTTTTACAGGCCATAGCCACCATAGCACTTGCTCATTTGGCCATTGATAACTGCTCAGAGCAGCAATGTTTCGTTTGAAATAGGGTTCGATGGAAACTATCATGATTCACATAATCAATTTCCGAGCTTTTTTCCTTCTAAAACCCGCTCCTTTGAGCGGCGGCTTCAAATCGATTGTATATTCGTTTTGGTCACTCCACCACATTCCTCAACCAGAAAACACCTAAAACTAAAGTAATATAAAGTAAATCAAGTAAAGCCTAATGCAATGGGATTAACTCAGATATACTACACTCTCACTACCACGTTCACTTTCGTGCTAAAATTTATATTATATTAACTTTGGCGGGCATTGCTGTGTATTTTGCGGGCTAAAATGATACATTTGCCGGGCTGAAATATATTCTAATCCGCTAAAATAGGCCAATCAGAAGATTGACTAAAGTGTTTACCCATTGCATGATTATTTTTTACAACAATTGCCCTTTAAAGTTGATATAATAGTAATACAGTGATGTTCTTGGGCATATTGGCCTGACTCTGAACTCATTTATGCTTGCGAACGTCAACTCTTTTGGTATATTTATATTAAGTTTGCTGTGTTTAATTTCTGGTCGCATCCCCTGTGGCGGCAGGTGACATAAGTGTATATTGCAGACTATCACTAACAACTTTGTTTTCAGTAGTGTATGCATGGTGTGGCTTCAGTAGCACTGATGTTGTGGTTTCTTGCATGTGTTGTGTGTGTTACGCGTTTGTTAAAAGAAAATTGTCTTTTGATGTGTTTCTTCATGTTCATGTTCGTCCATGTTTATTTTACGCAATTCAGCATTATAAGCACTTATGTTGAACTTTCATTAAATAAACAATGAAACTATCTATCTATCGATATTATGCTTGGTCAAAACCATCACCTTCGACAGAATTATGGCTATGATGTCTCCTTGAGTTAGTTTCAGATGTATTGCCACAAAACAACTATGGACCAAATCTAAAATTTTTGCTTAATCAACTAATTTTCAGGTTTTAAATTCAAGGTTTTTGCAGTGTCACGAGAATTGTTATGACTCAACCGACGAATAAAATTTCTTATGCATTTAAATACGCGCCGACCCGTCGCGTCGGCATTTTCCACTTGAACGTCCACAAAGAAAGAACGACCAAAATCGTTTTGAAACGTCTTCAGAAATCATGCATTATCGGTATGTACCTTCATTTCGATAAAATATCGTTAGAACTCAATGTTCCATAATAATTAATATATTCCATGGCAGCGAAATGTTTAAATATATAGTTTGTATTTGTCAATTTCGTTTCACCGTTTGTATACGATCAAAATTTTGATTTTAACTGAGGTTAATTATAAGATATACACCGGCCCTCGATTCCGTGCAATAAACTGTAGAACATAACATATGCAGATATCTCTTACTGGATTAAGTTTTAGATTCGAAAGAAAAATGGCCAAACTATGCAAAATACACGGGCAAGCAGACGGATCATCCGTCAACACGAATTATCCGCATAGTTCGTCTATATATGAACGTGCACAATTCAACGAGAAAGAGTAGCCTCATCAACCCAGCGACTCCGTTGTCTGCACTTGTTTAAACTCGCGTGGCTTCTGGATGAGACTTTAAGTATGAATTTTCGACAAGCACTCAGACGAATGTGATCATTTTATTCCGTTCCAAGCCGATTACCATAGACAATTCATGCACTGACAACGAACAAATAAAACTTTAAACCTAATCCTCGTCAAGTTGTAAGGTTAGGAAACGAACAAAGGAGAATAATTTTACGGCACTATCGACATATAACGGCCCATTGTGGGATATCGTTATTAACGGCAACAGCTCGAAAAATTCCGCCTAGTGGAAAACGGCTTTAAGTTTAACTTCATGTATCCTTATAATATGAAACAAACAAAATCAGCCTTCGTGATCCGTCATGTTTGGCTTTACTTTTAGATAACGCAATGTACTAGAGCGAGCCTTCCCTATATATATAAGGTTCACTGATACATTCAGCTATATGCATGTTCTGACACAATACCCGAGGTTGTAATTCCTGATCTATCTCCGGGCGGAATTAGCACCCACGCCAAAGCTTTCCGCCGTCTCGAGGAATATTCATAACATAGGTAGCTATGTTTAATTCAAATGTGAATTTGGTCTTCTAAACAGATCCTGTTATCTTGGTGGAATGTAAAAATGGCGTTTTCTCAGCCAGAATTAGTAAGGATTTCGGAGAAAATTCCAGGAAAATGGCAGAGAGTTGGTTTAATCACTGGAAAATTTCAAGATTCAGACATTCAGAACATCGAGCTTACAGCCAACAAACCTTCACCCAAAATGAAAGCACTTGATATGCTGAATTGTTACCAGCAGAGACAAGGTACAAGGAAAGAGCTGGCTTCAGCTTTAGAGGAATTGAAAGAAAAGGATTTGGCAAGAAAAGTTCGATCGAAATACTATCAAAAGCACGATGTTGATGGTAAGTGTTATTATAGTCAGTCTCCAAAGTAAACATTAAATTTTTTTTTCTTGAAGTCCGAACCCATATTTTTTAGCGTTTCCTGCAATCTGATTGGCTACGCGAGCGGTCCGTATGAGGCCAAATCTAAACGGGAATTAAAAAAATACGAGAATTAAAAAAAATAAATCTATTATTTACTAGTTTAGTCGGTCCGTATAGGTACTGACTGGTAAATAACATATATTTATTCTTTTACTAAGTGTAATTCTATGTCGCGACATGGGTGAAACATAAGAGGAACACTGGAACTTACGTATCCCAGCAATAATATGTATTGAAAATTGATAGGACATTTCTGAGGATTTGAATTTTGAAAAACAACCATCTTAGTTGGGCATAATTATTCCGGTGCGAAGCGGATTATTTTACATATGTTAATAAAAAATATTTTACAAAGTAAAATAAGCCCATTTTTTGCATGTTTATGAACTAAAGGGGGTACAATTTAAGACTGGGAGATTAAAGTATTGAAAAAGATACAGTTTGTTATGTCTGCATGTACATTGATTTGAGCTTGATATGTTGTTTTGCAAAGATAAAACCGACAACGAAATGCTATCACACCATTGCTTAATATACTTTAAAAAGGGTTTTTTAAAGTTGAAATTTGAATTTTGATGAAACAAAGCCTTTAGGCCCCGTTTACACTATACCGGATTACTTTCCATACCGAATTAATTTTCACTCCAAAGCAAAAAATAAGGGTGTTTACACTATTCGGATTGCACCGTTTCGCTTTGTTGCCAGCTCAACACTTTTTGATGTTGCCATAGAAACAAAGCCAGTTTCCCAGAGAGTCATTCTCGTAAGGCACGACTTAGCTCACAAATTTCGCGCCAAAGTAAGTTTTGTACCGGATTGGTCTGTTTACACTGCCCCGATAAATACCGGATTACTTTTTATATCACCTCAAAACCGGAGTGATTTTCGCTCTGCGGCATGTACCGGATTACGGTGGAGTAGTGTAAAAAGCAGCCCAATCCGGTGCGAAAATCGCTGCGCTCCGATGCAATCCGATATAATGTAAACGGGGCCTTAAAGTCAACTGCGAATATTCGCAGCATATTAAAATATTCGAAGAATAACATTTGAAGTTTGGTTCCTGAAGATTTTGTAGTTTTTTGACGTTTTAAAGTTGCTGTAAGAGTCCATATATTGTAAATAGGGTTTAGACTAATTAATTTTCAGGTGAAATTAGCTGAAAAACGGATGATGTTAACCTCAATTTATGACTCTATTTGACTATATACATTTGATTCCGAATAATAGTTGTTTCAATTAAGTTAGCGAGGTTAATTGACAAAATAATTGCCGGGAAAGAGATCCAAAACACGCCGAAAAGGCGTAATACTATATGGATCCTATACAAACTAATATTAAGTTAAAAATTTGTCAGGACTAGGTAGAGTCTGTTCACATTACCAAAATACAATCGTGCTCCAGGTTATAGGTCCAGGCCTGGTCTAGGCCGGGTAAAAATGTTCACATCTAGGCCAAGGCCTGTTCAAAGCACGTAGTGTAAACGCGGCTCCCCCGTGAAAACCACACTCGTACAACCAAAGGTGATCACAAAACATACACAAGCTCGTATTTATTTTCCCAAAATGTTCCGGCCAGACTCGTCTCGTATGCTGATTTTGCATGTACCGAATACATTGATGACAATGAGCTAAAATGCTTCATTATCCAAATTTTAATGATATTCGGTGCATGGTTGTGAAGTATACAGCGTATAACGGTTTTTATGGAGCCAGGTATTCCGGCTAGGCGACGTAAAAACTGCATTATAATGAAGTCTAATCCGTTAAATATTTAGTTTAATGTGCTTTTTACCTCGCCTAACCTGGATAACTCGCTGCAGATAAACAGCTCTCAGTCATTAAAATTATTCGTTTAAAGTAAATCGTCAGTTTGCATCGATACGTTATTGCCAGTCGCCACTATTATCAACGTGTATCTAATGAACTGCCAATATTTACAGGGAATATTCTTGAGGAGAACTCTGAAATCCAGCAATCTGACACCACTTCGAAAGAAAGTTCTCAGTTACCTGAGAGTAAGTTTTATATTTAAGTGCATGAAGTCTGTCTTAAGATTTGTTTAACTCATTCAAAGAAGGGACGCTATAGTCGTTTTTTGTTAGAAGGGTGCAGGGGAAATTTTGGCGAATGTACTGCTTAATGCAATTGTTCAAAGTACTGCATTAAATTTTTACAAAGCAACCTTTATTTAAAACAACCTTTATTTAAAAAAACCTTTGTTTAAAACAACCTTTTTTAACCTTTATTTATATAAGCTTCGAGCCTCTGAATTACAAATTACGCGCATTCACTTGCTACTCTTCTCGCACTCTTGCAGTATGGCAAAAGATTTCCATGAGATAAACCCTGGATTAATTGCTGCATGGTAACAAAACATTTTGTTGTCGATTCCTCGCGCGTGAATACGAGCTTTAAGAGGGCTTGTTTTTCAGCGGTCTCATATGCACGCAAAAATACTTTTTTTCCGCAGTAACACCGGAGAAAAGTTGTCAAACATTTCTCGAATTGTTCGTTGTAACTCTCAATACAAAAACTAACCCAGATTCAACAACTCTGTAGGTAGTTAAGTGAATCGATCAGCTGAGTGAATAAAATTAAAAAATCACTACTATTATCAGATAGATAGCGCTCCCAGTCTGCGGTAGCAGGACCCTGGTAGAAAGGTTCCGATCAACTACTGTTCAATCCGATTTTTCACATGAAAACTTTGATTCTAATGCTATGTGCACATGGTAACGTTTTCAAGCGTTTTCAAATTCGTTTTCATGTCCGAACGGTCTCAAAACACCGTCAATTTACAATAGAAGTTAAAGCTAATTTAACATATTTGGCATATTTTCCTTGGGTCGTGTGGACAAGGCGTCTAAACAATAAAAAAGACAAAAACGATTTTGAAAACGCTTGAAAACGACGCTCGTGTGCACATAGCCCAAATACGATAAATTAGTTGCTTGGTTTATTGACGTCTATGTTTCTTGTAGGTCCTACTTCTGTTACCAGAGAAAGGGTATCGTCAATGCACAAATTGCTGACGAAGTCAGTTAAGGAATTAATAAATGAATTTGAGTTAAAAAGTAAAACACCTTTGAATAGTGACAATTCTTCTTACACAACTCTGGGAGAGACAAGACAGGTGATTTGTGATTTTGGATATTTTTGTATAACAATTTAACTTATTATTTAAGTCAAAATAGCATCTAGATTATGCAACACGGCAGGGAAACAAATATGGAACAATGTATAATAAAAGAATAGAAGGAATTTACTGCCCGTAGGTTAACAAACGGAGGTTTCAGGATATAATGAATTTAATCATTTAATAAATATATACGTACTGGGTCAAAGCGCAGTTTGGCTTTAATCAGAACCATACCTTATTTTTAACCCGGATTAAGAAATGATCGAATGCATGTATTGCAAGGGAGTCCGTGTTCAAAATTAAACTTGTCTCACTGAAAAGTTAGTTTGAGCGCGATGCTTACATGCGTTAATAAGAATCTATATAGGCTATGCATTTCCAATAATTGCATTATAATTTTATTGTTACTTTTATTGTATTATTTGTAGCGTTAAAATGCGATTTCTAGTTAATGAAACAAAATTAGGAATTAAAGTTAAAAACTTATAATAATATATTCTCCATTATTTTAGAAAAAGAAAATGCACTTTCCAACTCTCCAGTTTTTCAAGCGCGGTCGCAAGAGTGTCAAGAAACCCGAGTCTCGCAGAAAGTTTAACCAAAGGAATGAAGCTACTGCTTCGAGTGAAGCCATGGAGAAAACCACGTGTTTCTCAATGCTTCGAAAAAAAACCCCTAAAAATGACGGCTAGGACGCATATTAGCCATATTGTATATTGTAATTGTATGTTTTCCAGTTTTCCGGTCATTCCCCAATTAGCCTTTTTCACGATGACAAATGTGCCGCCAATTTTGGGGTACTTTTTTTAAATTGTGAGTGGAAGACCTTGTCAGGGCGGCTGTCTTTGATTTTAGGCTTAATTTATTCTACAAATGGTCTATGGACGCTAAAAAAATGTTTCTTACATTGCTATTATTGTTTAAACGCATTTGAGAAAATTGAAAGTACTCGAAACATGGCGGATATTCGTCATCGTGAGAAAGGCTAATTCGCTTGTATCAGAATTTTTTTACTTCCGCTGCAAATGAGCCAATGAAATTTCGTTTAGTCAAATTGACCAATAGTAAAAAACAACAATATGAAATACAAATATTTCAATTTTGGCGGAACCGCTTTTTTTTAATCAAGGCTCTAATGTAACTACGTATTTTGATTTGAGTTGAAATAAACTGATTAAAAATTTTATTCCGTAAATTTCGCCTTTTTGTAGGATTGAATAAAGAAGCCGAGTCGTGGGTTGAATCTCTCCTTTAAGATTTTTAAACATTGTGTATGGGTGCTCTTACCAATCGCAAGTGCTTCAACAGGGAACCATGAACCTGATTCAAATGCGGTGGTAAAAAAAAAGGGGGTGGTAAAAAAAAGTGGCACCCAAAGAGAGTGGCACACCTGTATCCAGTTTCTCATTTTATATTAAATGAAGGTAGTAATAGGTATTATGTGTCTTAGCATATCTTTTTAGTTTCAAGAGCCGGATAATAAAAATTATGATTATAAACTTGTTACATGATACCGTAATCTCAATCATGTATAATATCATGCATGTACCGTAATATCATGTATGTAATTATAATATTATATATTTAAGGAACCTTAGTAATTATATACTTGTGACAAATGACATAACTTGGTTTGGGGCTGACCATTGTTGTTGTTTACTCGCTTCATCACGCTGTTACTTGCTTATTCACGCTGTATTGCGTAGGGGAAATAATTCTATAGTATCTTCTGCTAGCAAACCATATAAAAGTCAAAGCACAACTCTTGATTGCATTATTCGTAAGGCGCAAGCCTGAATAGCATCATTGCTTTAAAAACGAAATTAAAGAAGTAACGTGAAAAGAACCACAAACCAAAAGAGTGGAGAGAACCATTACGATAGAAAGAACACAGAATTGTTAAGATATCGAGAGTTGTGCTTCGACAGATAAGTTGAACTGCTTAAGTAATATTAAGTAGTATTATATATCAAAGGTTATAAGAGGTTTTATAAGTAATAGTAGCTATCAAAGAATAAATAATTGAAAAGTAATCGGTTTCACAATGCGCAGCCATTAGTAATTAAAAGAACCGGCTCGTAACAAAAGCTATTTTAGTATATCAATATTAAAATAAAGTTAATGAGGAAACGTTCATATCAAGGTGTGTCTTCGGCTTTGGCAAAAAACATATGTCTGCGGGCGGCATGTCAGACATGCGTCAAACCGGCGCTCCAATGCATTAGTGGATGCAATATGGCATCACACGCGAACTCATTTGACCTGCTCATCCAACCAATTAAACTCCTTTTCCATTTGGCGCGAAAAAAAACCAATAACATTTCAGAGGGTCACGTAAGCAGCATGCACAAGCTCATCTTCTCATTGGCAAATCGCTTTGCTCAGACACAGTTCGCAAAATTAAAAAGCATTATTTACGTCAAATCGGAAAGAAAGAATAAATAAAATTTTTATCATGCCTCGAGCCGCACGTAGTCGAACAACACCACGCCAACTACATCAGCCACGGAGCGAGATCAGTTTAACGGCTCTTCGAGAACGTTGCGCCGAACAAGGTTTACCTTCGAACGGACGGCGAAACACGCTGATTCACCGACTACAGCGTCACGCTTCCTCGAGCTCTCCTGAGTCAGAGTTGGTCCCTGAAACTTCCCCGGATAATCTTCGACAGACAGCGACAGCGAACGCTTTCAACGACGCTCAGTTAGCGCAAATTCAGGCCATCCTCGACAAATCGGCTGAACAGATCGCGACAACCGCCGCTAAAGCTGCTGTGGCATCCATGCAGAACTCTGGTCCCGTCACCCACAGCGTAGATGAGGCCATCGTTGATGACGCTCCTGAGCAATCCGTAGCCGCGCAGTTTGTGAACTCGGTTGTTCCTACCGCGACGTCACCTCAAGTGCCCTACAGCCACGGATTCCACGATGTTCCCGCAGCATACGTGAGACAAATTCAATCGGGTGAGTTTTTTGACTTAGCTAAGCTTCTCCCAAAAAACTTCTCTAATGGCTCTGACGACGAGCCTATTACCTTGACGCTTGAGAACTCGGTAATTAAGGTTAAAAGGTCGTCTCAGTCCGTCGCAAAAATCACCGATATTGAACAGTGGACTACAGCTTTCACGATCTACATGAGTGTCTTGACACATTCGTTCCCGGGACGGGCCCAGGAATTGCTGCAATACATGAGTCTAATCCGCCACGCATCTCGTACTCATCGCGGCCTGGGATGGTGTATTTACGACCATAAGTTTCGCCGAAAAGTTTCCCTCAACGCATGCATCGATTGGTCAATTATCGATCAACAGCTGTGGTTGATGATATTCACTGTATCTCCCGATGTACTTAGAAGGAATACCCTCTTTTTCACAACGGACCCCAAAAGCAGTTTTCCTCAGGGGGCGAACGAGGTCTCTGCATCGAATATAATAGGCGATCTGGATGTTCCCATCAGCCGTGCCGATACCACCACGCATGTAGCAAATGCCGAGGCCCACATACAGCATACTCTTGTCCGACCAACCAAGCCCAGCCCGCCGAAGATTCTGAAGCCCAACGCATCTCCAAGCGTCACCACACTGACCACAGACCTGCCAAGTCAAAGCACTAACCTAGTTCCAACACCCATCAATGTAAATACTTTAGAAAAAGCCCTTACGGGTCATCCAGACCCTAATTTTGTGTCACATTTATGCCAAAACCTTAGATACGGCGCGCGCATTGGCTTTCATGGGCAGCGCGCGCCACGCTTTTCCAAAAAATTTACCGACGGCGAATGCGGACCCTGCAATTGTTTCATCCAATTTAGCTAAAGAGATTTCGCTAGGCCGTGTGGCTGGTCCCTTTAACGAGCCCCCATTTCCAAATTTTCAAGTTTCTGCTATCGGGTTGGTCCCTAAAAAGCATTCGGAAAAGTTCCGCACTATATTTCATCTTTCATTTCCGAAATCGGGTATGACCAGCATAAATTCTTCTATCTCACAAGACGACTTTAGTCTTCAGTACGTTACTATCGACGATGCGATCAAGGGAATTATGCGTTTTGGGCAAGGTTGCTTTCTTGCAAAAACCGATATTGAATCTGCTTTTCGGCTCATACCTATACATCCGGACGATTACGAATTGTTAGGAATGTGCTGGGAGGGAAAATATTACTGCGACAAAGTTCTCCCATTTGGTCTGCGCAGCGCTCCTTTTATATTTAATCAACTTTCCGATGCCTTGGAGTGGATCTTACTAAATAAATGCCCTATTTCCTTCGCATGTCATATCCTAGATGATTTTTTGCTCATTGAACCAAAAGCACCCGCTTTGCCCTTTGACAGCATCTGTCAACAAAGTTTATCCGCCATGCTTCTTGCATTTCAAAATATAAAAATACCGATAGCCGCCGGCAAAACACAGGGTCCGTCGCAAGTTCTTGAATTCATGGGTATAATTTTAGATACGGTTCAAATGCAGGCACGTCTCCCTCCAGATAAGATAACACGGTTGCATGACATATTCATTACTTTCCAACACAAGACCTCGTGCACATTGAAGGAACTACAATCCCTCATAGGAACTTTGAATTTCGCATGTAAAGTTGTGCCACCCGGCCGCCCCTTTCTACAACATATGATTGCCCTGACTCGCAACGTTAAAAAGCAACACCATCACATTAAACTCAGTAAGGGTTTCTTCCAAGATCTTGAAATGTGGAAGGATTTTATTTTAAATTGGAACGGGGCTAATTTCTTTTTATCTTCCGAATGGCAGGATTCAGATAGCTTAGTGTTATACACGGATGCCTCTGGGACACTTGGGTATGGTGGCATATTTGGGACCAAATGGTTCCAGGGTACATGGCATGCTCACCAACAACTAGGAGTTCCCGGTATAAGCATTGCATGGCAAGAACTTTTTGCTATCGTCGTTGCATGTCAAATTTGGGGGCCCCTACTGCGCGATCAACGCATTAAATTTAAGTGTGATAATGAGGCAGTCGTCAACATGATTAACACCAAACGTTCCAAAATCCCTCGGGTAATGGATCTGCTTCGTCACTTAACTCTTCTTACCCTGCGATATAATATGTACATTCGGGCAACGCACATTTGTGGAAAACGGAACGAAATAGCAGACTCCATTTCTCGTTTTCAGCTTCAGCGATTCCGTCAACTGGCACCGCAGGCGGATACAACCCATGTTTGGTCCCCGAAATAATGCTGGCAATTTAAACGATGATATTCAACGCTATATAAATCTTTCCGTTGCAACAACAACTAAGCAGACCTACAGCGCAGGCGAAAAAAGTTTTAAGCACTTTGTAAATTGGTTTAGGCGACAAAAGATCGAACATTGTCTCCCTGCCAATGAACCCCTTTTGACAGAATACGTTGCATATTTGGCCAGAACTATCAAGTATACATCGATCAAAACATATTTGGCGGCCGTCCGCCACTTCCATGTTCGCCACGGTCATACTCTGAATTTGCAAAAAATGGTGCGGCTGCAACTAGTACTACGGGTATAAAGCGATCACAGGGGATAAAGTTCAGTTCGCTTACGATCACCATTCATCACTTAGAACTCTTCCGCGCGTTGCTTGCTGTCCTAACACTACAAACTATGACTTATGATATGGGCAGCTATGATCTGGCATTTTTTGGCTTTCTCCGCTTGGGTGAGCTAACAACAAATTTGAAATTTAACTCCAGTATACACCTCACGAAAGATAATATCGCATTTTCCCAAGGTACAGCAATGGCCCAGCCTAATTATATGACAGTTCACCTTAAAGAATCCAAAACAGACCCCTTTCGCGTAGGTCACACAATAACTGTTGGGGCCACAGGGACCGCGCTTTGCCCCGTTTCGGCCATGAAGCACTATTTAGTACGGCGACCAAAAACCACCGGCCCTCTCTTTATTCATGCATCAGGCAAACCGCTCACGAAAAAAACGTTAACCGCCCAGACTCGAACGTTGTTACAGAAAGTTGGTCTCAACGCCACGGAATATGCTAGTCATAGCTTTCGGATCTGCGCTGCTACGACCGCAGCATCGGCTAACCTGCCTGCTTGGCTGATCAAAACGTTAGGACGCTGGTCTTCTGATTGTTTTGAACGTTACATTCAAACACCTACCTCAACGCTCTCAAGCGTATCAGCCACACTGGCCAATATTTCAAAATATTGATTTCCTATTTTGGGGGGAAGGGGGCTCCTTCGTCTATGGGGATACACATTCTGTGTATTGTGGGAGGAAGCGCTCCTGATTGTCACGTTCAAGCCCATAGACTCAGCATTAAGTTATTGTAATCATAGATCAGTCGAATCGTATACTGTCCAACTAGCGTGTGCGGTTGGTCAGGTTGATGTCTTAGAGGCTAGCTACCTCTTTCATGGTATGTAGCGTGTGCGCATACATGACATCATGCGCTGGCTGTGCGTTGCAGAGTCCTAATGGGAGAATATAAACCCCAGGACAACGATTTTAAGGCCATTTAAGAACGAGTCTTTGGGATGAAAGAATGACCACAAAGAATTACATCCTATAGGAGTGCTTCCCCCAAACCCCTTCTCCCACAAAAAACGCGTGTGTATGTGTATTGTTTTGCGCTGAAAACCCGCTTGCTAGTAATCATTAGAACGGCTTCGATCATTAACTCCAGATTAAAAGAATAAAATGCATGCATTTGTAGCAATTTTCATAAAAATTCAAGATGGCGGTTTTCAAGCAGATATCCATAGGAAATTGTGTAATCATTTGTCAAACAACTGTCTGATTCACAGTAAATTATTCAGAAATGCAACCTACAATTTGAACAATGAGATAACTATTAAACAGAATTCTATTCATTATTACCTTTTAAACCGCCCATACACATTTGGATGCAAGTGCTGTGTTCTTAAGCTGACTGTGTTCGGTGACATTCATTGCATTACGCATTGTTTTTGATTATATCATAACAAATGAATCTTCAAAAGTTAGTTAGAGTTCTTTAGGCCCACTTGTATTGAATTATGTGAATTACCTTTATGGGTATGATTACATAATGTTAAATATTAGGCGCTAAGTATACAACATATAGAGATTACTTCATGGTTGGCGAGTGCGTACGATTTTTACGCACGAGTTGTGAAGGATCGCAATACGAACGAGTGAGCGCAGCGAATGAGTGAGTTTGCGATCCTTCGCAACGAGTGCATAATAAAAATCGTACAAACGAGCCAACCATGAAGTAATTTGTTTATTAAATGTGTATAGAGATCAATTTGACAACGACACGCTTTTAATATACAAAAACACAGCGAACAAAGAAATCGAAACTTTATGCATGAAAACATATTTATTACCGTTCAGTTTCTTTGTAATTTTGTTCAATAGAAGTTAGACATTCTTTCCGAAAGATTTGAGATGTGCTGAATGTAAAAATATCTTGAATATGAGAATTATGTTTTGAATCTCACTCCTATATTTCGACGCCATCTTGAAAGAAAAATGTAAACAAATTGCCGCCAAAATGACATACGACAATTTCTCACGTGTGAAGAATATCGTACGTCCAATCAAAAGCCGTGTATGGCATTTTTTCACACGTGAAAAACATCGTACGTCCAATCAAATTGCATGAAATTAATTTACACAGTGAAATACGATTTTTATTCATCATTCTGCTGTGCATAAATCTCTATACACATATAATAAAATTATTTTTTCGTTTTCTTATCTTATATATTTGAGATATATAACACTATCTTTATACACTTTCAAAATTCTCGCAATATCCCAAATCGCAATGGCATTCCTTTAATACAAAATACAAATAATATTAGACATACTCGGCATCTGCTAATTTATAATTATTTACAATGCGATTTTTTATTTCATTGGGAACAGTTGTACAAGTATCATAGAATTAACGTATTTCGTGTGTGCGGACGTAGGATCCGAGTGTCTGCTTTAGGGTTGGTAAGTTTCTGAATAAATAAGCCAAACATTGTTATTGGCGGTACTTTGATTCCTTTGTTTTAAACAAAGGAAACGAATGTTATGTTAATAAATTTGGCTTATTTATTCATAAAATCAACCAACCCTGGTCTGCTTATAGAAATAGATAAGAGATGGGAGCACTTAACATTTATACTGGGGTTCATTAATTTTGTATTGTTGATTATCATTAAATAAGAGAATATTATATTGGCGCAACAGGAGAAAAACATTGCTTTCCCTCCTATTTCCCTTTTCTCACCAGGATCTTTAAATTCAGAAGAACTTACTTTCGGGAGTTCGCGAGAAGACATATATTTTACACACATTGTTCTACTAGTCAAGTATTTTGAAATTTTTGAGTTTCTGTAGATGCTCTAAACGATCAATGCAACTCTGTTGCAACAAGCAACATAAGTCTTTATGACACCAAACAAGTATACATAGTATTGTTGTGGTGATTTTTCGACTGCCAGGATCATGTTATCTGCTCATTTCAATACCTCAAAATCATCTCACGCTTTGTTGAATCTCGAGTAACCGGGCTCATGTAAACAGTTAACGAAATTGAAATACAGCAACTATCGTCGTTCCCTTCTGGCAGGAACCGGCACACTCAAGTTTGCGCAATGCCGATGCACTGCTCTGGAGTCTGATCACTGAGCTACGGAGAGAGAGAGAGAGAGTGCCAAGTTCCAACGCGAGTTCAAGTGTTCATAAAGTGTGCACCGGCATCAAAAAAAGGTATGTGCTGCATTCTTCTTAACTTAATCCATGAACCCAATGTGTTTTTCTTCACCGAGCGAAATGCGCAAAATGCATTATCGCACCAATTACAGGCATAAACGACCGAATACACATAAAAGCTTTCAAATTTTGTTGTGAAAAAAATTTGCTTTAAAGCAATGAACTCTAATAAATCACTGGGACGATACCTCATCATTGTTTTTAGGAACACGCGTGTCTGGAAGTGAATTCCCATAAATTTTGGCTATTACTCGCGGGTGAATAAAGAATATTACATCACACGTATACTAATTGTTTCAAGTGCTTTCCTCAAGTTCTTCCGTTCGCATTTGATATCCGTTGCCAAAGCATGTATTATAAACAACGGCGTTCAGATACGATTCAAATAGTAATAATTTTTTTGGAAGTACTGTCGTGATTCAGTAAAAATTAGACAGATCCCCCCCCCCCCTTTTTTTATGCATCCCGATGGTCTGTATCTTGCAGACATGTAAAGCGTGTGGCCATGCATATTTATATACATGCAGACGCGGACACGCCGTTACAGATTCATTCAGACATACTGGCAAACAACAACGAAGGAACGGCGTTTTTAGTAAATTCCATTTCACAATTTCCTGACAAGAATCAATATTTAGGTAAGTACATTTATATAAAGAATATCAATTTTGCCTGATATTGGCTGAAAACAGCTTTTTATTATGTTTCATTAAACATTTGCACTTCCGTCTTATTTTGTTACACGTAAATTGTGGCTGTGGTTTGTGGTATTAAAGGCTGAAATTGATTTGACAAAGCACTCGATAAACGAGCTTTTGTAGGTTAAAATTCATATTTCATGAAGCTAATCGCATTATTGGTGATCTTATTAGCACTATAACTACGGTATATGAGACAGCAACGTTTGTAAATGTCTCGATTGTATGAAGTATCGAGAAGAAAACAGATTTGATAAAAATATCACACGTATTCCACGGCATCCCTTTACGCAATTGGTGCAAGCCTTACCTTGGTTTGGGTGGTCTATAAATTCACAATACGTTTGGGGGATACATTTTCTATGAAAATTTGCCGTATGATTTATCATAGCGAGCCGACTTTGCATGTTTTCCTACAATTAAATTTGTTAGTATGATATGAGATATGTTAAAGATGCCATGCTATACTCCTCTCCGAAACATATTCATGAAAAATATTTGATAATCGGCATTTAATAAGTAAAATTATAGATAAAATGCTAGCTTTTAAACAAGTGTATAGTGTTGTAAGAGAAAATTTTAACAGATTATTTCAGTACAAAGTTTTCCTCGGTATTGGCAAATGATATGCATGCATGTGGTCTTGGAGAATTCCGTTCTCGTTTGATTGCTGCCTGCGATGACGCTTATAGTTTCAGGTTTTAAAGATGCGAATTAACACAATTGCATGTAGATATCGTCAACAAGCTATCAGTCCAACATAAATCTGTGTAAAGGCTTCAAGCGGATCGACTTTCTGTTTTAAACTATTTATTTATATAATAAATACATAACAGGAAGTTTATTAATTATTCAAAAACTTTGTTTGTCAGGCCAGTTAATAAAACTATATATATTGTTTCGCAGAAATATAAATTGTTTTTCCTGTAAGCTTAAAGCTTCATATTACTTGATACACCTATACAACGCTCCATATCAAACATTCAAATCGAATTAATAGGTATACTGCATTAAGAGACAAAGATGCTGAATTACTTATAAATTATCCGGCAGAATCAGTGATATTTTGTTTTCATATCATTCCAAAGACATCTTTAGATGTAATAACGAAAAGAATGCCAGCGATGATATTTATCAGAGCTAGTTACATGATTTTCTTGACTTATAAGTATACAAGCCGCGTATCCGTAGCGGACTGACACCGGTGTATGATAATTATTAACTAATATTACCAATAAAATCTTTGATAAGCTTACCATTGAATTTAGGTATACCCAGAATAAACTTTATGGATCCAAGAAAGGTGGGACGGTCGACTAATCAATCAGCGGCTGAATTTACTTATCAAGAATTGGTACAGATTGGTAAAAAAATTCCGGCTAATTGGGAAATGGTCGCTCTACTTACTGGGAAATTTGAAGCTGATGAGATCGATAATATTCGTCGGGATCATATTAACCTCTATGATAACGTGCAGAAAGCAACACGAATGTTGAATATGTACAAGACCAAGAAAGGTACTAGAGAACTGCTGGCGAAAGCTTTGGAAGAAAATGGACGACTTGACATAGCCGAAAACGTTCGATCCAAGTATTATCAAACAACTGTGGGCGAAGGTTCGTAATAATTGTTTTTTGTTATAATCTACAATCTGTTAAAACTGCAGCTCCACCCATCTAAGTTCAGTAAGACTATACTTCGTATTATATAATAGGAGCTAACCTGACATTTTAAAATATAGTATATATAGTCGTAGCCAATCAGTGCAATCTTGATATCTTAGCTTACTAGCCAAACATGTAGCGCTTGTGCATAACCTAAAATTTGCCTAACGTTAATTTACAATACTTTTTTTGAAGAATTTCCAAGCGATATTTTTCCCCTCTCACGGCTTCGCCCAGTCGCTAATTAAGGGAATTAATTGATTTTTGGTAGATCTGATCATTGTTAATTTGATCATTAAAGAATAAAAATATCTAAATTACAGCTGCAATCACGGAATACATTTCCGTATTTATGGCGTCTTCTTTTCCTTCAGAACAATTATCAATTGGCACAATATAAAATTGTGCCCGTATACCCAACTTTCATGTATAAAAATCTGTCTATTATCAATGTATAATATGATTACAGGAACACAAGTTTCCAGTAATGAAAAAGAGCATCAAGAAAGCGAAGCGGGACTTGAAGAAAATTTGAAGAAATTAAACATTAAAGACGGTAGTTAGCAGCGACAGCATCGTGAATACATCTATGGCCTTTTAAGTCGTAAAGGCTCGACCAATTTCCTAGAAACTTGGAAAAAATATTTTGATATAATTATATCCTATGATCTGCTGTGCATGTATTGGTGTATGCTTTTATTTTGTTCGTTCATTTGATTATATACGTATTTTCAGGCATAAGACATCCAACTCAAGACGAACAACAGGCAACAAACTCTTCCAGTTCCAGCAGTGACCAGAACGTTCACTCCAGTTTTCGTTCCCCGCCTCCACCCGGTATGTTTGACTTCGCCTCTGCATTCCGCTCCAGCGGGTGATATCTGTTACCTTAGTCTCTCGATCGTCTGCACGTTTTTATAAAAGAATAAGAATTAAAGCTAGCAAAATTTACTCGCCCGGTAACATTTCGGGTGCACAATACAAAGCCTCTATTTCGAAATTCTCACTTTACCACTCACGAATGTTCTTCCTTTCTTGTTTTATTTATTTTCTCCATCGCAATCGACTGAACGAAAACTGCTATTTATACTGTATCAAATGTGGTATAGCAATTGCCTAAAACAGAAGGCAGTTGTTATATCACATTTGATGCTAAGTTTTAGGCAGTTGTTATACCACATTTGATGCTAAGTTGTTTGAAAACGCTGCCACGCTGCTCCCTAGTTATATTGGAACTTATCTATACTGTAGTCTATTTACAGTCGTTAGTCACAAACGTGACAGTTTTTCCTTGACAACTTGGTGAGCGTCGGCTGCGTCGCCTAGAAACATTATTAGATGACGTCACAAACATTGCTTTCAAACTACAAAACTTAACAAAAAAAATAAACTTTCGCAATTCCAAAATCGTAGTATCAATTTCGTCCGGCGGGCATTCTATTGCCGCCCCTTGCGATCTTGTAATGGGCAATTGTAACGTTTTGCCCGAAAACGGAGCTTTTATCGAATCTTCACATGTCCATTAATGTCACACCTAAATCAATTTAATAACACGTTTGTGAATGGGATTTCAGAAAAAAAAATGTATGAAGTCTATATCCCCGTGTTAACTTCACTATGTTACCTAATGAAACTTACACCCAATTAATTCTTTTTTAAAATTTCTTGTTGAAATCATTGGCCCGGATAAACCAAAGTTGGCTAGACTAAATTGTGGCACATGTCGCAGCTCTCGAAAGCTTTCGTCCAATTGGATAATGCTTTTCTATGCTTTCTAAAGAACGAATCTGTGCTATTGGTTGAAACAGAAATGTATTGTAAAGTTCAGCCAATGAAAATCATTCTGGCGAGGAGCTTAATTTAAGCTTTAATTGAAACAGAGCCAGTTTATGGTGTATTTACTGTGGTTATATTCTTGTAATAGGTCCTTCTTCCAGTGGTGGTGATGATTCTACTGATGCAAAAACTATCGTGCCTTCTGATGGAGCACCTATCGTGTTTATCTCTTACAAGTGGGAAATACAAGGAAAAGTTGAACAATTGATGAGATATATTCAATCAAAGGGTATAAAATGTTGGATGGACAAAATTGAGATTAAAGCAGGATCAGCTTTAAGTAAAGAGATTGATAAAGGAATAAGAACGTGCAAGGTAATTTTTACCTTTAGCGATATTCATTCGATATTGCTTTTTCAAACATTTAAAATGGTAATTTTACAACTATCATGCAACGAAAATGGACAGGTGTGTTTTTGACAAAAAGTACACGACTAAAGCTCTTTTATTAACGAGTAATTCATGGCTCTTTCCTGCAACTATTGACTATACAAAACATTTTTTATGTGTGATCATTTTTATGTATGATCACATATGATCCGGATTACCAGGACGTCAATCCTGCTCACCTATGATCTCGTCTTTGACGTCATTCCGCTTAGAGGGATGAAATATTAACACAAAATTTTCGATTATGATTCGTTTGGGTTAGAAAAATTACCACAAATAATGCTCTAAACGATTATGAGAATGATTTTCACATACAATAGTTACCATGGAAACGAAAAACTTTAATTCATCTTGACAGGCAGTTATTAATAATTTTCTTGTATGATTGCATGGCGACTTTAGTAATTATAATAACTTGTAGGTACACCACGTAAGTATTAAATACTGCAAAGCTTTCGGTCCGTTAACCCGGACCAAAAAGTTATTAATTAAGAAATAGAAAACATTTTCCGTGTTTCTATACAGTTATAGAAACACGCGTGGGAGTTTGGGAGAACGAGAAATAATCCGTGGGAATAATGACGTTATTTCGAGACGTGATTTTGATTTTTCACGTTTATTCCTTTAGAGAATTATACGAGAGTGACGAAATTTTGCTATCGCCCGCGCGACCCCTGCAGAGTGAGATAACGTGTTATCCCATGGGAAATAACAACTCTAATCGCGTGCGGCGCACCTGGACGTGCGACCTTAAAAAAATATTTACCGTGACCTCAGAATATCGACAGGTCTCGGGTCCACAAAACATAATGTTTCCTTCGCTCGCAGTAAATAAGTGTTAAATATTCAAAGATGCACTATCTTTCGGAATTTGCCCCAAGTAATTACTATATTTGATTTTAGATTATGCTACCTTGCGTAACAAAGGCGTACAACGAGTCAGATTATTGTCTAAAGGAGCTTGCCTTGGCTGATAAATTGAAGAAACCAATTATTCCACTTTTGTTTGAAAAAATGGAATGGCCACCTTCTGGGCATATATATTTCGGTGCAGACCTGGTATATATTAAGTGTCAAGAAGATATTAAGTGTCAAGAAGATATTACAGGTGAAAAGCTAGAAGAAATATTTGGGGCTATTAGAGGGAATTTGCCATGAATGATTCTTAGGTTGATATTAACGGCATATTTACGTAAATTTTGCTTTTTTTTAATTTTTTTCATAACAATCAATCAATGTAGCAAAATACATTAATTATAAGGACATTTATCCTAAATATCTATCCAAGATGTCCATTGGAAATTTCACTTGCCCATCAGTATGAAACTATAAAGGCTGCTTTCCACCGTCGCGATTTTCCATGCGCGGAAATCTTTAAATGCTTGCAAATTGTTATTATTTAACAAATGGGTCAACAAATGCATACCAAATTATGCAGTAAACTAAGTTATTTCGATTTATTCACCTATATAGCTTTTTCAATAATGACATGCATGTATAAGGGGATTTAGCCTTTTCCCACGTGCGTATCAAAAACGCGACAGTGGAAAGCAGCCCTAAGGCTAAGCGACGTTGACACGTCACCGGACGAATTTAGGACGTAGCTAACTAGCCTAACTAGCTAGGCTATATATATATATATATATATATATATATATATATATATATATATATATATATATATATATATATATATATACAGTCGTTAGTATTAAGGTTGTCCATGTCAATATATATACAAATATATAAGTATCAATAACGTGACCATTAAACATGGCTTATATGTTCACTTACCTCTTGTTTATTTATAATTATCAATGTTGTTCACCTTACTATGACATTTAAGAAATTATCAAGTTAAATTTCCAACGATTTCACGTAAAATTAACGTATGCAGTACAATCACGTGATCAATGTTTAGGTATTTATATAAGTTTTATATTCTTAAATATTAATCATGTTGCACTAAATTGAATCGTGTAGCCAAAAAATATTCAATCTAAATAAAAGCAACTTCATCGTTTTAGTGTTAAAATTTGGTTACATATCGCGTTCAAGTTCAATATATAATTGTCAGTATTTATTCGAATTTACTTTCAGTTCATGGATAATTTGGTTGTCAGCCTATTCATGACATATATCGGCATGACTCATGACTCGGTCGCAAAATCATGACTCGGTGATAAATATTTCCAGTCGGGACTGAAATATTCCCATATACGGACCGACCAAACCGGTAATTTTTTTTTTTTCAGTATTTAATTCTCGCCCGGACCCGAGGGAATTTAAAAAGTGGCGCCCAATAAGGAAGATTGATAATAACATGTTCATTTCAAATAGAGGGGTCATCGAGGAGAAATTGAGGAGCGCGTTAACGGGGGGGGGGAGGGGGCAAATCCAAGTCCCAGATATTCACTCATTCACGATTTCCTAGACCAAAATAACAAAATATTTATGAAGGAAATAAGAAATTTATGTAATGTGATTTTATAAATAGACTGCTAAGGCAAGGTGTACCCCCAAGGGATTACGCTTTGCCGACGATAATTAAAAAATTTATATGATGGGCTTGGCGCCCTATCTATACGACCGACAGTTAATGGAGAGCACGCAATATGGGAAAGGTGGTCAATGGCCAGCAGCAAATAGAAAACTAACAAAGACCGAATACCCAAACCATGCACAAACGGTCAGTTTAAGCGTGATATCGCAAAAGACAGAGCTCCTTTAGAGTTGAAGGGTATTTACAGAAGTGTTTTTTATATAATTATATATTGATATACATATATATAGTAGCTACGAATACACAATGGTACCCCCAAAAGTTTTAGTCCTGGGACACTCATTTTTTCGTCGCCTACAGTGAGACCTGAAACGTAAACGGGATAAAAAAATTATTCGTATGTGGCCAAACTTTAAACTCAGAGGCACAGCGAGAGTTTCTCTACACAAATTTGATTTAGGCGTAGTTTCTCGGTGTGCCCCAGATATTGTTATTCTGGAGATAGGCACGAACGATTTGTCCTCCTAAAGGCCCGATATAGTCGGTTCACGCATTGACGACTTGGTTGCTCTATTGCTGGATCAATATCGCGTAAAATTGGCATGCGTATGAATGATTTCCCCGCGAAAGAACAAACCTCTTTTTGAAAAGCAGCGTTTAATGCTAAATAATTATCTACAGGTAGTTTTAGAGAAGGTCCCGAGAGTGTTTTTATGGACACACCATGGCTTTATACGACCTTCCGTGACGCCATTTCTA